TGTCAACACACATAGTACGTATACATTGTCAGTACACAGTACAATCAGTCATAGTACATTGTCAGTACACATAGTACAGTAGTACCAGTACGTTGTGCACACAGTAAGTACACTTCAGTGCACACAGTAAGTACACATGATCAGTGCACACAGTAAGTACACAGTGAAGCTGATACATACATTATAAATCACGATAAAAATAAGATTAAATTTGTCACCAGTGAAAAATAGAAATGGTAAAAAAATCTAAATTTAGATTACGGTTCATTAACGGACGGGAGGGGGGGGGGAGCCGAAGTGTTGGAAAATATTATACATTGGTGCCAGTGAGCGAGAAAATACCATATTAAAACAACTGACTAAATTTATCAATGCATATAAATATCAAAGTGTAAGCAGAAAGTGTTATTACAGTCTAATTAAAAACTTCCGTTCGTTAATATATATAAATTATTGTCAAAATTAAATTAAAATGCCTAGTTAATTAATCCCATATATTGGTTTTGTGAAAATCAGAATGTAATGAGAGTTCAGTATTACACTGTTAAATTAATTTCAAAATCAAAATCTAAAATGGCTCATTACTTCACACTTATATTATTCTCAATATCAATAACTAAACCTCAGTTCAATATTATTGAAGTTATTGTCATTATCAAATTCTAAAGTGAGGTTCATTATCATGCACCGAAGTTATTGTTGAAATCAATATCTAAACCACAGTTCAATAATGCTCACCAACATTATTGTCAAAATCAAATTCTAAACCAGGGTTCATTAATGCAGGGTGGCGGAGCCGGAGAGTGTGCTGAAATATTAATAGGGTGGAGGCTGGTGTCAGAACCATACATTGTGAAATGAAACTGACTGGATATCTGCAGATTGGTCTCCCGGGATAAATGTATACACGCGTTTGATGTCCCCGGCGTTAATAGTACATTTTGGGGTTTTGTTTTCCATTTTGCTTTTCCTCAAAAAACGTTTGTTGGGACGTTTTGTGAGTGTGTGTGTGTGTGTGTGTAAGTATGTATATGTGTGTGTGTGTGTATGTAAGTATGTATATGTGTGTGTGTAAGTATGTATGTGATGTGTGTGTAGATACTTTTGCCATTATTAGTGGCCTGTATTTACATAAACATTTGTGTTAATATTTGTATCCTGTATATATTTTGTTGTATTAGGGTACTGTATTTGTATATTTTTGTGAGTGTTGTGCTTTGTATATACTGTATATTCACTGTATACCGGTATGTATGAGGGTGTTAGTCTTTTGTAAATAATAGTTATATTGTGAGTACTACTGTTATGTATGCACAATTTGTAAATATTTTTGTTGTGTGAGGTTTTTTTGTGAGTATTAGTACTGTGTGTATTTAATGTGAGTATTAGCATATAATAGTTGTACCTGGGGAATATTCGCCCTCCCTGGTAGATATTCGCTTTCTCTGGTCCAAGTTCGCCCTACCTGGTAGATGGTCGTCCTTCCTGATAGAGTCTCTTTCCCTGGCAGTTTTTCGCCCTCCCTGGCAAATGTGCGCCCCTCCTGGGATATATTTGCTCTCACTGGCACACGTTCTCCCTCCCTGGCAGCACAAGACGAGACAATTACAACTTGGATCCAACACGACAGTTGAGACTGGAATGGAAATTGGAATTAAAAAGGTCCCTCGAACTGGAATGGTGTTGAAACTGGAATGTGCTTGGAATGGGAACGCCTCATATTTGGAATGGCGGTGAGAGGAGACGTGTCGCTTGGAATGGAACAGGAATATAGACCAATGGATTGTGACTAATTAGTGTTTACCATTCCTGTCACAACATGACAACAAGGACAAGTGTCTGGTGATAACAAGTGTTACTGTGATGATAACAAGTGTTACTGTGATGATAACAAGTGTTACTGTGATGACAAGTGTTACTGTGATGATAACAAGTGTTACTGTGATGATAACAAGTGTTACTGTGATGATAACAAGTGTTACTGTGATGATAACAAGTGTTACTGTGATAAGTGTTACTGTGATGACAGCAAGTGTTACTATGATGATAAGTGTTACTGTGATGATAACAAGTGTTACTGTGATGACGTGTTACTGTGATGATAGCAAGTGTTACTGTGATGACGTGTTACTGTGATCATAGCAAGTGTTACTGTGATAACGTGTTACTGTGATGATAACAAGTGTTACTGTGATGACGTGTTACTGTGATGATAACAAGTGTTACTGTGATGACGTGTTACTGTGATGATAGCGCGTTACCGTGATGATAACAAGTGTTACCGTGGATGACATGTCAATAAAGATGATAGCAAGTGTTACTGTGATGATAACAAGTGTTACTGTGATGATAGCAAGTGTTACTGTGATGATAACAAGTGTAACTATGATGACGTGTTACTGTGATGATAGCAAGTGTTACTGTGATGATAACAAGTGTTACTGTGATGATAAGTGTTACTGTGATAGCAAGTGTTACTGTGATGATAACAAGTGTAACTGTGATGACGTGTTACTGTGATGATAACAAGTGTAACTGTGATGACAACAAGTAACTATGATGATGTGTTACCGTGATGATAGCAAGTGTTACTGTGATGGCGGCGTTACCGTGATGAGGCGTTACTGTGATAAAGTGCGTTACTTATAATTAAGTAACCGTGATGACGTGTTACTGTGATGACGTGTTACTGTGATAGCAAGTGCGTTACTGGTGATGATAAATAAGCAACCGCATGACGTGTTGTGATGATAAGTGTTACTGTGATGATAGCAAGTGTTACTGTGATAATAACAAGTGTAACTGTGATGACGTGTTACTGTGATGATAGCAAGTGTTACTGTGATGATAAGTGTTACTGTGATGATAACAAGTGTTACTGTGATGATAAGTGTTTCTGTGATGATAACAAGTGTTACTGTGATGATAACAAGTGTTACTGTGATAACGTGTTACTGTGATGATAACAAGTGTTACTGTGATAACGTGTTACTGTGATAGCAAGTGTTACTGTGATGATAACAAGTGTAACTGTGATGACGTGTTACTGTGATGATAGCAAATGTTACTGTGATGATAACAAGTGTTACTGTGATGATAAGTGTTACTGTGATGATAACAAGTGTTACTGTTATGATAACAAGTGTTAAGGTGATGATAACGTGTTTCTGTGATGATAACAAGTGTTACTGTGATGATAACAAGTGTTACTGTGATAACAAGTGTTACTGTGATAACAAGTGTTACTGTGATGATAACAAGTGTTACTGTGATGATAACAAGGGTTACTGTGATGATAACAAGTGTTACTGTGATAAGTGTTACTGTGATGTTAACAAGTGTTACTGTGATGATAACAAGTGTTACTGTGATGATAACAAGTGTTACTGTGATGATAACAAGTGTTACTGTGGAGATATCAGTGTTACTGTGACGATAACAAGTGTTACCGTGATAACGTAAGCATTGTGACGATGACAAGTGTTACTGTGACGATAAATAGTGTTACTCGTGGATGATAACAAGGTTGTTTCGTGGATGATAATGCGTTACTGTGATGATACCGCGTTACTGTGACGATAATCAGTGTTACTGTGATGATACTGCGTTACTGTGATAACAAGTGTTACTGTGATGATAACAAGTGTTACTGTGATGATAACAAGTGTTCCTGTGATAACAAGTGTTACTGTGGTGATAACAAGTGTTACTGTGACAAGTGTTACTGTGATGATAACAAGTGTTACTGTAATAAGAAGTGTTACTGTGATGATAACAAGTGTTACTGTGATGATAACAAGTGTTACTGTGACGATAACAAGTGTTACTGTGATAACAAATGTTACTGTGATGATAACAAGTGTTACTGTGATGATAACAAGTGTTCCTGTGATAACAAGTGTTACTGTGGTGATAACAAGTGTTACTGTGACAACAAGTGTTACTGTGATGATAACAAGTGTTACTGTAATAACAAGTGTTACTAACTTACTGTGATGATAAGTGTTACTGTGATGATAACAAGTAGTGTGATGGTAAGTGTTATCGTGATGATAACATATATATATATATATATATATATATATATATATATATATATATATATATATATATATATATATGCTGATAACTACCAGGAAACAAGAAAACACGAAGTTCTCAAGCGCTATCGTGTAATTAACTTCAGGGGTGAGTACAGACTAAGGAGTAATACTTGACAAGGCTAATATATACAGTACAGTAGAGGAGAGTGAGATCAAGTCCCTTGTAATACAATTGTCAGTAGGAACATTATAGAATCCAGTCTCATTAAACATATCGAATCTCTCAACACAAATTTGAGTAATGGTATGTACAAACTGGATAATTTTGTGAATAAGAAGATTTGTAACCAGGTGAGAAGGTTGGGTCATCCTACCCTATGACCTGACTACGGACAGCTGCTGTGTCTTAGAGATGGCATGATCATTGTTTTGTTTTATTAAGATCAGTAAGGGTCACTGCCTTATAACAGGACCATTGTGGGCACCTGCTGTCCCCTAGGGACTTGATCTCACTCTCCTCTACTGTACTGTATATATTAGCCTTGTCAAGTATTACTCCTTAGTCTGTACTCACCCCTGAAGTGAATTACACGATAGCGCTTGAGAACTTCGTGTTTTCTTGTTTCCTTGTGGTTATCAGCATATACTTGGATCACGCGCACCTACAGTGATTTACTTCCATATATATATATATATATATATATATATATATATATATATATATATATATATATATATATATATATATATATATATATATATATATATATATATATACTGGAATAGATGTCACGAGCAGTCGTTGTGTTGTCACTAACAGGCGTTGTGTTGTCACTAACAGGCGTTGTGTTGTCACGAGCAGTCGTTGTGTTGTCAACAGCAGTCGTTGTGTTGTCACTAACAGGCGTTGTGTTGTCACTAACAGGCGTTGTGTTGTCACTAACAGGCGTTGTGTTGTCACGGAGAAGTCACAGTTGTCGCCAGCAGTCGTTGTAAGTTGTCACTAACAGGCGTTGTGTTGTCACTAACAGGCGTTGTGTTGTCACTAACAGGCGTTGTGTTGTCACTAACAGGCGTTGTGTTGTCACGAGCAGTCGTTGTGTTGTCAACAGCAGTCGTTGTGTTGTCACTAACAGGCGTTGTGTTGTCACTAACAGGCGTTGTGTTGTCACGAGCAGTCGTTGTGTTGTCACTAACAGGCGTTGTGTTGTCACTAACAGGCGTTGTGTTGTCACTAACAGGCGTTGTGTTGTCACGAGCAGTCGTTGTGTTGTCACTAACAGGCGTTGTGTTGTCACGAGCAGTCGTTGTGTTGTCACTAACAGGCGTTGTGTTGTCACGAGCAGTCGTTGTCTCGTCATTAACAGTCGATGTGTTGTCAACAGCAGTCGATGTGTTGTCAACAGCAGGCGTTGTGTTGCCAGCAGTAGGTGTTGTCAGTAAGGGAACATTCTACGCACGTGTTGTCAGGTCACGTCGCCAACTCTCCTTATACTGGACAAAGTTTTCATAGATTCAATTAACACAACTGTAGGGTGGCGCTGAGCCTGTGTTGGTCCACCACCGTTATGTTGCCCACTGTCTGTGTCTCTCTATCTGTCTGTCTTGTCTCCCTTGGTTTTGTCAGTGGCTCTCTTATTTCTCATTTCGGTCATTATTTCTCTCTCTCTCATTTCAGTGGTTCAGCTCATATATCTTAATCAAGAATTTAATGGTTCATTTGAATGTGATCTATCCACATCAGATACGCATTGTGTGTTACTAAAACTCATTAGTTTGCAGGGGATGTATGTTTGTATATGCATGTGTGTGTGTGTGTGTGTGTGCGTGGCCGTGTGTGTACATGCATGTATATTCAGTGCATTCCTCTGGGTGAGCGCGTGGGAATATAATTTATGTATTTCATGAATTAATATAGTAACCAATACCAGCCGTCTTCAGCCGCCATAAATCATACTGGTGTGTTAGTGAGGTCGCCGCCCGTCAAATTTACGACCTGTGAACACCGATTCTCTCTCAATAATAACACACACACAGAGGGTAGTTCCACCTGACTGCCTGCCTCTCCCTCATGACCCCAGGTTAAGGTCACACAGGTCTCGGGTCATTAATTATTACCACCTCTTGCACCACCGACCGTGAACCTTCCTGGGCCTCCCTTGCCTGCTGCCCGGTATTCTATTGGAATTCTCTGTTACATTCTAGAGCATTCATTCCCATCATTGTTATTGCTGTTATGAGTGTAATTAATATTTTGTATTACTGTTATTATTATCGATTTTATTTTCAGTATGTAATTATTGTTAATGTGGTATTATTATTATTTTTATGATTATTGATATTGTTATTGTTGTTATTAATGGATTAATATTAATTAGTTATTCCTTTTAATGATATTATTATTATTAATTTGTTATTCTTGTTAATGAAATTGTTATTATTGTTTTTATTATTATAAACATTAATATTTATTGTTATTATTATTATTATTATTATTATTATTATTATTATTACATTAATTATAGCCGATATCATTGAAACAATTATTTTTATTATAATCATTATCATTATTGTTATATTTTTACCACTGACGGAGCGAAAGAATTCATCAGTGAGATACTTATCATCCTGTTATAGGCAGCTTTAACCTGTCAGGTCCATTAATACTACCACCTTAGACTACAGTAAACAACATGTAACTAAACTTAACCAGAGTTTACTGTACTAGAAACTATATACTGTATATATACGCGACACTCACTAATGGAGAATGTTACTCTCGGTGACGCAGAAAAATTGGCTTCTCTGCTGTTCCGGGCACCAATATTGTAGCTCCCAGTATTATCACGACCACATTGGAAATAAGTGGCTTTAATAATTTATGTGTTATCCTCGGTATGATATTTTTTTTATTCAGCCAAATCAAATTACTCCAAGATCTATTTACAATACTACGAGGTTCTCTGAGTCCCATAATGTAGAATAACATACGAGGGAGGAAATTCGTCTTCAAAGATGCTCAAGACCTTGTAATTTGCCCTCGAACCCTGGCACTGTTTCGTCTCTGTGCCACACAGACACTCAAGGGACGTGACATAAATTAGTGCTTAGTTCAGGTGTATTCGTGTCACTTATGATGGAAATAATCTTTTAACTATAATTATTATATTTAGTCATGATTAAATTATTTTACTGTAATTGAGAGCTATGTACTGTATGTCTCCAAGTGTGTGTGTGTGTGTGTCTGTGTGTGTGTGTGTGTGTGTGTGTGTGTGTCTGTGTGTGTGTGTCTTTGTGTGTGTGTGTGTGTGTCTGTGTGTGTGTGTGTGTGTGTGTGTGTGTGTCTGTGTGTGTGTGTCTCTGTCTCCATTTGATTTATTACCTCCTCCACAACACTAGGTACAGTCCACCATTAGCAACAAATCCACAGAGGAATCATCTAAGCTCACACCTCCTCTGCAGCCAAATCCGTATTCATGTTAATCGGTTCTTGTCAACAGCAGTGACGTCAGAGAAGGACATGGCCGTGTCAGGGTTAATATTTGAGGAGTGTGGTATACCTGCGGCCCCGTCAACACACTTCACCAGTTAAAATGCAGCGAACAAGACAATGCCCAGAATATCTCCTGTAGGGGATGTGTTGGGTAAGGATGTGCGTGTGGGGGAGGGAGGAATGGGCAGAGGAAGAGGGGCCATAAGTTAACGATGGGGGGAAGACATAGAGAGAGAGAGAGGGAAGTGTTCACGTTCAATGACTGAAGGTTAATACAGTTAACAGTTACATGAAAAAGAACAACGATATAAACTGGTTGTTAGAGTTTGTTTATGGACTTGTGAATCGAGTTTAGAAGTGAGTGAGAGATTAACACCCAAAAAATGACTCAAAAGTTAGTTAGGTTTTTCCGGCATAAAGTTTGCAAACATAATTATAAAAAAAAACACAAGAAAAATACCAGATTGTGTATGTTGTATATCTATGTAAACTATTAAGTGTCTTGAATCACCACTGGGAGTAATTCAAAGTTGGTGGGATTCTGTATGGATGGTGATGTTCATTGAGTGTATGTTTTGTGTTGACTTTGTAATATCTCCTTGAGCCGCTGGAGAACCTTTCACATGTATAGCGGAGATTTGACCTCTGGTATATACAGTATACAATATTTTTGCACTCAAGAATAGGTCAATGTATTCACGGGGTAAAGTCATCGTGCTCAAGGTGTTAAGACATATGCTAGGAGTTAACCCATCGTATTCATAGGGTTAAGTCATCGTGCTCAAGGTGTTAAGTCATCGTAATCAAGGAATTCAATCATCGTTCTTAAGACTATCCCCGCTAACGCCTTCATTACGGGGACGCCATTTTTTATATTTTGTTTGGCTAACTCTAGATGATTTCATTCAGCACAGCGGGGACTCCAGTAATTCAGTTTATCATACTCAGGGGGATAAGTCATCATACTCAAGGGATTGATATATAACTAACAAACCCATATACCATAATTATGACATCTGGTAAACACCGGTGTAGTTAGATAAAAATATCAACTGTTGTCATCAGTAAATAGGCAAAAGGTCGTACATATATGATTTTGACAACCCTACGGAGACAACAGGAGTCAGTGTTCATTCTACAATTCATCGATCACCCCGAGTAGAGATAATTTTTTGAGTGATTACAGTATTTTGTTCAAAGATTGATCAGCTAAATATTGAACACAGCCAACCTATGTTTTTTCCTGTTAGGTTTATAGACTAAAATGCAAGAGAGTTGACAATGGTAAACCTCTCACTAGTTTAACTTCATCCCTGGAGGTGTGTGAATTGAGTTTATTCAAGTACATTCCTTCAGGCGCAACACCTCGGTAATGTTACTCGCGCTGGTGGGCACAACTGCTCACTCCGTCGTGTCTGTGTCCGTTGTATCCGTGGCCTGTCCTTTGTGTTATCCGTTGCACACGTGGTCTGTCCTTCGTCTGTCCGTTGTACCCGTGGCCTGTTCTTTTGTCCGTTGTACCCGTGGCCTGTCCGTTGTACCCGTGGTCTGTCCTTAGTCTGTCCGTTGTACCCGTGGTCTGTTCTTTTGTCCGTTGTACCCGTGGCCTGTTCTTTTGTCCGTTGTACACGTGGTCTGTCCGTTGTACCCGTGGCCTGTTCTTTTGTCCGTTGTACCCGTGGCCTGTCCGTTGTACCCGTGGCCAGCCCTTTGTGTGAACGCACTGACTCTTGAAGAAGTGGATGGATTTTCCTGATACTGGCGAGTACTTGGCTTTCCGTAAGAGTTTGGACGAGTTTCACGATCGTCATGAGCCGACTATCGTAACTAAGGGATTGCGGACAATTGGCGATAAGTCGGGTGTTGCACTATTTGTGAGCGGAGACACGGGGAGTCTAGCTTTATGGTGACCTCGTCTCTTACACCAAGTGGAAAACAGAAACAGTCAAACAGTTTTTCAATTTGTTTTTCTTGTATGTATTTCGACCTGACGACCGCTTTGTTTAACACTGTCAGGAGAACACGACAACAACTGCTTGCATATATTTATTTATTTTGATTTTAGAATTTTGGGGAACTTGAAACTCTGTATTAAGTTAGGTCGTAGCTGTCCAGAGATTTCTCTTTTATTTTATTTTTATTTTCGAATTGTCGCGAGAAGGCGATGCTCAGATGTAGATTTTCTTATCTTTTTATGTTTCGTGTTAAAGAAAACAAATCTTAAACAAGTCAAAGGTGTGTCCAGAGGGCGGCCTTGTTAGTACCGAGGCTCTAGACGCGTGTTGTGTGTGTGCTCAGACATGATGTATGTTTTGTAAACAATAAGAGCAGTACTTGTCGCTACGTGTTGGCCTCCACACTGTTGTTGTGAGTGTAACTGACTGAAAAGAGCTCAAAAGTTAGGCGAAAAGGAAAGGACATGAGGCTTTTATGCCGTTGTTGTGAGTGTAACTGACCAGAAAGTGCTTGAAAGTTCAGCGGAAAGGAAAGGACATGGAGCTTTTATATGTTTTTCACCGCAAAAACATGGAACAGATACTGTCAGAAAACAGAATGTTTGTAATTGGCAGTTGGGTGTGCAGGTTCCAGGGGGTAACAAAGCGACGTGTGTGTGTCCTGGCACAGCTGTTGTGGGGGGCTGCAAGTTGGACCACTTTGTAACACACCACAGCCCTTAAATGTTCAGCTCCACGACGAAGGGGGTTTCGGGTTGGTTATTTACGTGCGTTAGAATCTCTGTATGTCTCTTTGTCTCCATCTGCCAGCCTGTCTGTCTGATGAAAACACCCGCCAGGTGTGTCTGTTAATTATCTGGCTAGAGGACATATCTCCCCCTTACAGTGCACTGCCTCTCCTTCTGGTATACCTGTTGTTTCACCGGGTCATATGATAAACCTCTCCTTCTGGCCACAATATATCTCCGTCTGCTTCATGTATACTCGCTGGGTTTACCTGGACACAATATACCTCCGTCTGCTTCATGTATACTCGCTGGGTTTACCTGGCCACAATATATCTCCGTCTGCTTCATGTATACTTGCTGGGTTTACCTGGCCACAATATATCTCCGTCTGCTTCATGTATACTCGCTGGGTTTACCTGGACACAATATATCTCCGTCTGCTTCATGTATACTCGCTGGGTTTACCTGGACACAATATACCTCCGTCTGCTTCATATACTCGCTGGGTTTACCTGGACTGCAACCTCCGTCTGCTTCATGTATACTCACTTTGGGTTTTACCTGTGGCCACAATATTACCTCCGTCTGCTTCATGTATACTCGCTGGGTTTACCTCAGCACAATATACCTCCATCTGCTTCATGTATACTCGCTGGTTTACCTGGCCTGTGTACCTCCGTCTGCTTCATGTATACTCGCTGGGGTTTACCTCTGACACAATATATCTCCGTCTGCTTCATGTATACTCGCTGGGTTTACCTGGACACAATATACCTCCGTCTGCTTCATGTATACTCGCTGGGTTTACCTGGCCACAATATATCTCCGTCTGCTTCATGTATACTCGCTGGGTTTACCTGGACACAATATACCTCCGTCTGCTTCATGTATACTCGCTGGGTTTACCTGGCCACAACAATATACATAAATCTGCTTCATGTATACTCGCTGGGTTTACCTGGACACAAAAAATACCTCCGTCTGTATGCCTCACTGGGTTTACCTGGCCACAATATACCTCCATCTCTGCTTCATGTATACTCTTTGGTTACTGGCCCCACAATATATCTCCATCTTCATGTACTCGCTGGGTTTACCTGGACACAATATACCTCCGTCTGCTTCATGTATACTCGCTGGGTTTACCTGGCCACAATATACCTCCGTCTGCTTCATGTATACTCGCTGGGTTTACCTGGATACAATATACCTCCGTCTGCTTCATGTATACTCGCTGGGTTTACCTGGACACAATATACCTCCGTCTGCTTCATGTATACTCGCTGGGTTTACCTGGACACAATATACCTCCGTCTGCTTCATGTATACTCGCTGGGTTTACCTGGCCACAATGTACCTCCGTCTGCTTCATGTATACTGCTGGTTTACCTGACACAATATACCTCCGTCTGCTTCATGTATACTCGCTGGGTTTACCTGGCCACAATATACCTCCGTCTGCTTCATGTATACTCGCTGGGTTTACCTGGACACAATATACTCCGTCTGCTTCATGTATACTGCTGGGTTTACCTGACACAATATACCTGTTGTCGTATCATAATATACTTCGTTCTTTTTGTATACTGCTGGGTTTACTGGACACAATATACCTCCGTCTGCTTCATGTATACTGCTGGTTTACCTGGGGACAATATATCATTCCTGCTTCATGTATACTCGCTGGGTTTACCTGGACACAATATACCTCCGTCTGCTTCATGTATACTGCTGTTTACCTGACACAATATACCCATCTGCTTCATGTATACTCGCTGGGTTTATAATAATAATATATACCTCCGTTGCTTCATGTATACTCGCTGGGTTTACCTGGACACAATATACTTCCGTCTGCTTCATGTATACTGCTGGGTTTACCTGGCCACAATATACCTCCGTCTGCTTCATGTATACTCGCTGGGTTTACCTGGACACAATATACCTCCGTCTGTTCATGTATACTGGGTTTACCTGACACAATATACCTCCATCTGCTTTATGTATACTGCGGGTTTACCTGGCCACAATATACCTCCGTCTGCTTCATGTATACTCGCTGGGTTTACCTACAATATACCCCGTCTGCTTCATGTATACTCGCTGGGTTTACTCCGTCTGCTCATGTATACCGCTGGGTTTATCTGGACACAATATACTCCATCTGCTTCATGTACTCGCTGGGTTTACCTGGCCACAATATATCTCCGTCTGCTTCATGTATACTCGCTGGGTTTACCTGGACACAATATACCTCCGTCTGCTTCATGTATACTCGCTGGGTTTACCTGGCCACAATATATCTCCGTCTGCTTCATGTATACTTGCTGGGTTTACCTGGCCACAATATATCTCCGTCTGCTTCATGTATACTCGCTGGGTTTACCTGGACACAATATATCTCCGTCTGCTTCATGTATACTCGCTGGGTTTACCTGGACACAATATACCTCCGTCTGCTTCATGTATACTCGCTGGGTTTACCTGGCCACAATATACCTCCGTCTGCTTCATGTATACTCGCTGGGTTTACCTGGATACAATATACCTCCGTCTGCTTCATGTATACTCGCTGGGTTTACCTGGACACAATATACCTCCGTCTGCTTCATGTATACTCGCTGGGTTTACCTGGACACAATATACCTCCGTCTGCTTCATGTATACTCGCTGGGTTTACCTGGCCACAATGTACCTCTGGCCCCTTTAGCTGTACCTGTTGGTTCACCTGGACTGGAGGCGACGCTACCGGCCGGGTCATCAAAGGGGAAGCGTTCCTCGTCCGTTATTGAATTACATTGTAATCCACTTATGACGTCATAACCCAGGTAGACACGGCCACCCGCCCTCTTTGGAGACGCTCTTGTGTCGTGTAGCCAGGGTGGGTGTGAGGGTGGGCGTGGGAGGGAGTGATGGTGGGTTGATGTGGGTAATGATTGATACGGGTGGGTTAAGATGGATTTAATAGTGGGTTGGAGTGTTTGAGAGTATACCAGGGTGGGCTGGTGTGTGTGTGTGTGTGTGTGTGTGTGTGTGTGTGTGTGTGTGTGTGTGTGTGTGTGTGTGTGTGTGTAATTGGGCTTGGTATGTTTGAGGGTGGGGTGTATACGAGTATGGGGTTCAGGGTGGACTATTATAAGTGTGAAAGTGCTAGTATGAGTCAGCATGGGATAGTATGAGTGTGATAGTGCTAGTATGAGTGTCAGCATGGGATAGTATGAGTGTGATAGTGCTAGTATGAGTGTGGTGGGGGGGGGGGCAGTATAAATTTTAGGGGAAACTAGTATGAGTGAGAGAGTGTGCTAGTGTAAGAGTGCTAGTATAAGTGTGATAATGCTAGTATGTGTAAGGATATGAGTGCAAAGTGGCTAGTATGAGTGTGAATCACCTAGTATGAGTGAGAGTGGGCTTGTAGGAGAGTATAAGGAGACAGGTGTGAAAATGTGTAGCTTCATCATTAGGGAGGGTGTGGCTCATACCTTCGTCACCCCTTAATTGTCTTACCATTTTCTTTAACCTCTTCCCCTTCTATCTGCTTTATCCATTTCTACTGCGTTTTCTTCATTTCTTCCTACTTTCTCTCTTGTATTTCTCTCTCATTTATTTTCTTCAGTTTTTGCTTTTTCTATCTCTCTTCTCCCTTCTTACTTCATATCTTCTTCTCTATATTCTTTACCTCCCTATTTATTGCTTCCTTCTCCTCCTTATACTAAACATAAAGACGAGAGAGATGGATAAATACAGAGAATCAGATAAAAGTGGAATGGACAGAACGACTTAACAGGTATAAACAGATAGGACAGATAAATGGACAGACAGACAGACAAGAGAAAGGAAACTGACAATAGACAACCACAGATAGATAGATAGATCGATAGATAGACAGATAGATCGATAGATAGACAGATAGATCGATAGATAGGAAGAGAGACAAGTTATACAGAGTGAGAAATATGTCAGAGATAGACAGAAAAGACAGAAACTCTGATATAAAAAAAGATAGACTGACAGATACAAAAAACAGATGTACAGAGAGAAAGGCAGAC